GTTTAGAATTAGTTAAAAAAAATAACTATCGAAAATTTAATTTTGCTATTAAACATAAAATATCTACTTTTTAAAATTAAACTGTAAGCAACTTATTTCACCTTAAATGCTTCAGCAAAATTCGAAATTGCTCCACCTATAATGCTATTAGTTAATATAGAATTAATTTAAAAATATTAATTACCGATAATATAATTTTGCTATAAAACATAAAATATCTACTTTATACAATTAAACTGTATGTTAATTGATTGCTCGTTATATGCTCCAGCAGAATCCGAAATTGCTCCACCTCTACTGCTATTAGTTAGTTTAGAATTAATTTAAAAAAAATTAATTATCGAAAATTTTATTTTGCTATTAAACATAAAATATCCACTTTTTAAAATTATACTGTATGCAACTAATTTCACCTTAAATGCTCCAGCAGAATCCGACGAAATTGCTCCACCTATATTGCTATTATTTAATTTATTATTAATTTAAAAAAATTAAGTATCGAAAATTTAATTTTGCTATAAAGCATAAAATATCTATTTTTAAAAATAACTAAATGCCAAATAATTGCTCCTTAAGTGCTCCAGTAGAATTCGAAATTGCTGCACCTCTATTGTCATTAGTTAATTTAGAATTAGTTTTGAGAAAGAGTGATCCCATTTGAGTAATAGCGCCATCATCAATAGAATGCAGCAACATTCTATTGTAAAAGTCATTTTATCGAACAAAAATGTATTTACTCTCAAGGTGGTACGTAGAGTAGATGCTAAACGCCATAAACCCAAAAAAATAATATTAATCGGTTTGTTTTGAAATTATGGATTCTTATGGATTGGACAAACATGTTAATATATTTTTTGTATTTAAGCCATCTAGTCTTTTCTACATACCACCGAATTTAATTGTTTCTTAAATGCTCTCTTAGAGTCTGTAGTTTGACTACGTCTATTACTATTAGTTTATTTATAATTGTTTTATTGTTGTTAAGAATTACTCTCAATTTGCTGTATACTAACACATAACCTACATTTTATCCTAGAAAAATAATAAATCCCGCAGGACTTAAAAAGCCTTAATCCACGTGGACGAAGTCGCGGGTATCATTTAGTTAACAGATAAAATATTTGAATATATTTTAAATATAATAATTAAAGGATGTTTTAATATCGACATATCGATATTCCGATTTTTATTTATTGAATATTTTATCTAAGGGCAGAAATTGTTGATGTACATTTTTATTATAATACCAGGTAACATAATCTACTCTATAATATTATTCTTTAGTTGAGTGAGTAAATTTTGATGCTTCTTCAATGAGTAATAAAAAAATATCGATATCGAGCCGCAATCACATTAAAAATCAATTTTGGAAAAACTGTCTTATCCATTCATAAGAATCCATAATTTCAAAACTCACCGATCAACATTATTTTTTTAGGTTTATGCTATTTAGCATCTATTCTACCTACCACCTTGAGAGTCAATCAATTTTTGTTCGATAAAATGACTTTTAGCATAGAATGTTACTACATTCTATTGATGATGGCGCTATTACTCAAATGGGATCACTCTTTCTCAAAAAAAAAAATCTAAATCAACTAATAGCAATAGAAGTGCAGCAATTTCGGATTCTACTGAATCATTTAAGGAGCAATTAATTGGCATTTAGTTTAATTTTAAAAAGTAGATATTTTATGTTTTATAGCAACATGAAATTTTCGATACTTAATTTTTTTTTAATTAATTATAAATTAACTAATAGCAATACAAATGGAGCAATTTCGGATTTTGCTGGAGCATTTTAGAAGCAAATAATGAGCATACAGTTTTATTTTAAATAGTAGATATTTTATGTTTCATACCAAACTTTAATTTACGATACTTAATTTTTTTAAATTAATTATAAATTAACTAATAGCAATAGAAATGAAGCGATTTCGGATTTTGCTGGAGCATTTTAGGAGCAAATAATGAGCATACAGTTTTATTTTAAAAGTAGATATTTTATGTTTTATAGCAAACTTTAATTTTCGATACTTAAATTTAAAAAAAATTAATTATAAATTAACTAATAGCAATAGAAATGGAGCAATTTCGGATTTTGCTGGAACATTTTAGGAGCAAATAATGAGCATACAGTTTTATTTTAAAAAGTAGGTATTTTATCTTTTATAGCAAAATTAATTTTCGATACTTAATTTTTTTTTAAATTAATTATAAATTAACTAATAGCAATAGAGGTGGAGCAATTTCGGGTTCTGTTGGAGCATTTAAGGAGCAATTAATTGCCATACAGTTTAATTAAAAAAAAAATAATGTTCTACGCTAACTTCCTTCTGGTATGATTATAAGCTGTTATTTAAAAAAAAAGTCCCGCTGGGTTTTTTACTGGTTCTTCACAGGACAGAGGCTTTTTTCCAAACCAGTGGTAATTAAACAAATTGAGTGACTTTCAGTAAGTATCATTTATAATCTATATTGAATAAAAAAGTTTCTGTTTCTGTTTGTACCGAATGTCCACACAATACTTTTCTACTTGGATACTCTGTTACAGTTGTAAAAAATATTTAATTGTTAGTAGAGTTTTATTCAGAGTTACAGTGAAATTTAAAGTTAAAGTTTTATATCTAAGTTGACTGTATAATGAATGGAGACTTTTTTATATAAAAAAACATCACTATTGTTGTGAAATAAGTACCTATTTAATATAATTCTTAAAGAAATAAACAAAACCCGGGCTCTATCCGTTAAATTTTTCGAGAGTTATCGTGACCACGTAAAAAAAATCCGGACGTTCACGAAAATTTTTTACAGTTTTCTTAAAATAGCAAAATAAAATTGATTTATACAAAATATGAGATAGATTGATTAAATTTTCTTGAAATAAATCTACTCATATTATCTTATGGTGCAAATCAATTTTTAAAACAAATTAATTTCCTTTTTATTTTCATTATGTGGGGTTTTCAGTTAATATTTGTGTCTATTGATAAGCCAAGTAGGGTGAATTCATTTAATTTTCTGCCAACTTCCAAAAAGGGGACGGTACTCAATTCGACGCGTATGTTTTTTTTTTATGTGTGTTACCTCATAACTTTGTACTGGGTGAACCGATTTCGATGATTCTTTTTTTATATGAAAGCTGGTACATCTCGTGTGGTCCCATATTAATTTGATTGAAATTGATTGATCAAGGTCAGACCAATGGTTTTTGAGTTATTCTTAATAACTAATATTGAAGTCGGCTGTACAAAATTTTTAATTTTAATTTATTCTATTTTGATGTTATGGTAGGTAAAGTTTATATTTAGTGGAACTTTTTGGTAAGGGTGAAAACTTATTATTTTCGTTTTGGAGAAATTTATTTCAAGGTTATGCTATGCCATCCAGTTTTTAGTCTTTTCTAGTATCAAATGTAATTTACTATGGATGTTTATATTGCTGTCACATGAGGTAAGCAGGGATATATCATCGGCAAACAGCATACAGGGTTGTTCTATAATTTTGGGGAGGTCGTTTATGTAGATTATAAATAACAGGCAGCCCAGAACACTCCCTTGACCCATTCGTTGCGGTGCACGCACAACGGCGTATTTTAAATTGTCATTCTCAGGCGGATGACACTGATCGGCGTAAATTATATTTTAGCCATAACTTGGCCAATTTATATTCTAAAGGGATATACTTTTTATATGTGCATGTTTTACATACATACAACATCATTATAGTTTCCGTTTCTGTAAATAATGATTTTAGAAAAATAACAAAATCATACTCAAGCACGGTATACGCCGAACGGCGTCTTCCAGAGGTTATCAACATTGAAAACATTTGAATTAAATATTTATATATTATTTATTTTAGCTAGGTATTTTATTTTATTGAATAAAAAAACAGTAATAGGTCATACTATGAGCAATCTTCATTTCATAGTTGATAGTTAAACATTTTGCTGCGTTAATATGATTCGCTAGTAGTAGTTTTTTTTTTATATATTCTTCATCATCTCTAGTGTAAAAGGAAAAAAGAGCATGCAGAAAATTAAAACGAAAACGGCTTATTAATAAAATCCAACATCTTGGATTGTTAAAACCGTTCATATAGGTAAATAGGAAATCGTTTTAATCACAAAATAACTTATTATATACAAATGTAATTTGGCCACTGAATACGCAGTCACTTAACATGGCGTAGACTGATAAGCGTCAATAAAATTCTGTCTAAACAAGCAAGAATCATTTTCATGTGCGGGAAACGCCGATCGGCGTCAAAGTGTTTAAATATGAGATGCGTCCGACGCCTATCGGAGTTAGCTCTTTAAAGCCCGCCCTGCGTAATAAAGGCGATTTTTCGAGCCGCATTGAATGGGTTGAGGGATTGATGCGTTACATTTTTTTCCGTCTGATCATACTGATTTTTTTTCGTTCGTTTCATAATTGAAGTAGTTTATTTCTACGAATTGCTCTCGATTCTGTAAATATGATTTGAACCATTCGTATGCTTTACCACGGATCCCTATACCATATAGTTTGTTAAGAAGAATTTTGAATTGAACTTTATCGTAAGCTTTAGACATGTCTAGTAGTACACCGATTACGTATTTTTTATTATTAATTAGGTTAAAGATTTCCTGAATATATTTGTAAACCGCTAATGTTGTTGATCGTTTTTTACGAAATCTATTTTGACAATTATCAAAAATATTATACTTTTCACAGAAGTTATATACGCGCTTACACATCACTTTCTCTAAGACTAGAAGGTGAAGGTAGCAGGGCTATTGGACGATAGTTGCTGGGGTCACTTTTATCATTTTTTTTTATACATCGGTTTTATAATCGCCTTTTTAAGTAGGTCTGGGAAAACTCCTTCGTCAAACGATTGATTAATGAGCATGCTATAGCAAGTTCATTTATGCATGGTAAAGCAAGTTCAGAGGAACATTGTTTGAGTAAAGTAGGTGGAAGCTCGTCTATTCCAAAACTTGTTTTATTTTTTAGGCTTTTTAGTGTCTTATTTACTTCGTGAAAATCGACTGGGCTGAGAAAGAAAGTATTTTCTGTCGGGCTTAGGACAGGACGTCCAGTTGCTGTTAGAGGGCTACTTTCACCAATGGCCGCGTAGTAAGTGTTAAATGCATTTGCAACTTTATATGGCTCCGAGGTAATGGTATTGTTTATTTTTAGTGATAAGCGTTGTTATCTCTAGTATATCTTTTATTTGTACGTTCATTTATAATACTCCACATTGTTTTAACTTTGTTAGAGGATTTTTTTAATTTATGTATGTAATGTAATTTTTTTGAAATATTTACTGTTTTTTTTAAGTATTTTTTTATATTTTTTATAGTAATTATGTAAAATTTGGTTTTTTGTTTTAGATGTTAGTATTTTAAGGAGTCGTTTATTTTTTGAAGATTCTTTTATGCCAGTAGTTAGCCAGTATTTTTTATTAATGGTTTTTAGTTTAAGTTTACGTTTTGGTATAGGTATTTAAAATATCTGTCAAAATATTATGAAATTAAGTATAGTTTTCATTTATATTATTTTCAGGTCGCAATATATTTTGCCAATGGATTTCTCGTTTGAATTGTTCTATATTAGCTAAATTGTAAAACCGTTTCTCAGTATACCAAGTTATTTGCTTAGTTTGTGATTGTGACTCTATTTCAATGGTGGTTGCTGCATGGTTACAAACTCCTCAACTTTTGTCAGTAATTTATTTATATCAAAATTCGTAAATATCAAATCTAAGCACGTTGATGATGTTTGTGTGAAATGTGTAGGGTCTTTAATATGTTGACATAAGTTGTATTCAGACATAGTATTTAATAACTGGGATGTTTTAGAATTATTATCAAGGACGTTTGTATTAAAATCGCCGCCAAGAATAACTTTATATTTTGAGTATTTTTTATCAATGAATTTTAATATTTTTTGCAATTGCTATAATATATTATATTACCCATTTACGAAAAATGCTACAGGTTTGTCACCCCTGAGAGCTAAGATGTAATGCCTTACAATTATACTGGCTCGTTAAACTAATTAAATAAATAAATTCATTAAAACTGAAACACAACGGTGATACAATAGTGCCTGGGGACAGAAATAAATATGAGGATTGTACCAACTCAAGAGGATATTGACTCCTAGGCTTATTTTCTTTGGGTAACTCTATTCCACACACCTCCAATATATATTCTATTGACATATCTGCTATATCAGTTTTTTTAATATATTCGAGATGATTTTGAAGTAAGATGCACACGCCACCTCCACCTCTTGTTTTTCGGCAGTATGATGCTGCTATTTTATATCCAGTAAGGTTAATAAGCTCCAATTTGGCCTGATTTAACCAAGATTCTGTTATACAAAAAGCTTGGTAAGTCGAATTCTGGGTTGTAAATGTTTCCAATAGGTCTTGTTTATTGTAGAGGCTTTGAAAGTTTTGGTAAAGTACTTTAAATGATGTCAACTTGCTTCCGAAATGTCTGAATATTGTTAATTCTTGGTGATCTCTGTTGGTTCTGCGTTGATAGTGCTTCTTATTGGATTATTTTTACACTCGTACTGTCAACAGTGCGATCCATATTTTTATTTTCTAAGTTCCAGTCTACGGGTTTTCTCTCTATAATAAGTTGGTTATTTCTTATAATGACATGTAGTCCATTTTTTCGTGCATTCAACATTTGTTCTAGCATGGTCTTGTTTTTCCTTCAATTCTGCAAGTTCTAAATATTCAGTGATAGATAATTTAGTGCCGTGTAAGAAGTACTATTTTTGAGTATGTATTTAGCCATTCTTTTGCTGAGTAGCTCTATTACTAAAGGCTTATTTTTGTTATTGTTTCTTCCTATCCAGTGAGTGTCTTCTAAATATCCAAGTAGGTTTATATTACATGTTTCTCTGAACATTTGAATGACTCTACTATGTAAGTCGTATTCTGATTCTCTAAATCGTTCGCCAAATCCATAAATTACCAACCTTCTGCTATTAATTTCTAACTTAGACTGCTTTTCAGGTAATGTGATTTTTGTTTCCAGGCTCTGTATTTCTTTTCGAAGGATGGTATTTTCTTTTTTCAAATTATCTATTTGAGTGTTGATAAGTTGAATGTCATTGTTTAATATTTCAGTTTGCTTGTACAAAGTAGAGGTTTGTTGTTGTATATCCTCTTTGAATTTGAGAATCGCTTTATCAATCTCCAATTGTATTGTATTTTGTAGATCTCTAATAATGGAAATATTATTTTCTTTCAGTCTTGAACTTATTAATTCGCTCAAGTTTTGTAGAATCAATTGAGGTTGGGAAGCAGTTGTTACCGGTGAAGTATTCTGGGTGTAAATAGTGTTGCCGAGTAAGCTGCATTCTGTAGAGTCTGAAGTTTCATTTAGGTTGGTATTTTTTCTTCTAATAGTTACATTATTTATATCCGGTGATATACTGTTATATTCTATTCCTTCATTTTCATGCGAACACACTGGTTTGTTGCTATTATTTCCTTTAGGGAATTTTATTTTGCAAAGGCAAGCGGGGCATTTCCATTTCTTTTTACGGGCTGGCGACATGATATTTAAGTATCGCTGAATAGATACAACGGCGCAATCGAGGTCATATGTTTTGTTACATAGTGCGCAGGTGAGATATTCACGACTTGTGATTTTTTGTCGACAAGCAGCACATTGAGTCGCCATCTCCTTAAGTATTATTTCTAATCAGTTCCACTAATATTCAGGCACTGTACACATTTATTGCCTATAAATAGCACTTAGGTAACTTGAAGTCGTGAAAAAGTCTGTTTTTTGTTTGGACACTTGTTACATTTTGCTGCAGAGTCCTTGGTTGATTTATTAAAATGTATATTTTTATTCACTTCTAGGACTATTGAACTCATAGATATAGTATACATTAGATTGGTGATGGCGTGATTAGGATGCGACTAAAAACGAAATGTACCCGTGTGAGTGAAATGTGTATGTGTGCGATAATCATAGTGCTGCGCCATGTATCCTCTTCAATAATCGATACAAAACGCTGTGTCTGTGTCATAAAATGAATATCATTATGTTTGAGGGCATAAAAATAAAACAACAAACAAAAAGTTTGTGATTTTTATTTTCCACCAAAAATAACTAATATATTGTAAAAATGTCGTAAGCTCTCCTTAAAGCCCTTCTCCCATTACGATACGCACAGGCGAATCAAGTATCCTGCAAGTCTTGGCGACTAGTCGCCGCCAAGTATCTCACATACATTTGAATGCAGGCTCGCACACTACGCTACTGGTATCCTACGCGTCCGCGACTAGTATCGCGCGACTCGCTGTGTTGGTCGCTTGTGCGTCGCGTCTCCTGTGCGTCTCGACAAGATGGCGGCGGAGCAAGAAATAAATATTAAGTTTGTACAAGAAGTTGAAAAACATGCTTGTTTATATAACTACAAATTACCAGAATACATGCGGAAAAATACAATAGATAGGACTTGGGCAGAAATTGGGAATAAATTTCAAATAACAGGTTTGTTTTGTTTATACATAATAAGTAGTTTATTAATCAATGTTACATTGTATTTTGTAAACAGTATTGGTATTGCCAAGGCAATGAACCTTGCTCAGATATAAAGTAGTTTGCTAAATAATTTCGTTGGTTGTGTGGTGACATAGTTGCAGTTATTTCTATATTTTGAGGTTGTATAGTCATAGTAACGGGAATAGTGACCGATCTGTTTTGTATTACCTCCCTTGGACTATATAGAATACCCTCATGTTGTCGAACAAAGTTGTGTAAAATACACACTGCTTTTATTATATTTGATACTTTTTCTATTGTATGACATCTTATAGCTGTACTTAATACTTGAAATTTCTCAGTCATCATTCCAAAAGCACATTCAATTGTATTCCTCCCTCGGCTTATTCTGTAGTTAAACACCCTTTTCAAGTCATTTAAGGTTCTTTGGGGATATGGTCTCATGAAGTAAGATAGAAGGGGAAATGCCTCATCCCCAATAAAATAGTATGGAAATTCATAGTTAGATGGGTCATTAGGAAGTTTGGAAGGTAAAGGAATATTAAGACGTCCATGTTCAATCCAACGTTTGATCCTGGAAGCACTGAAGATTCCACCGTCGCTGTTCCTACCAGCATAGCCAGTTTCGATAACAGTAAATAATCCATCGGCATTACAACATGCCATTAATACTATCGAATGGTAGGATTTGTAATTAAAATTACTTGATCCCGAATTAGGTAATTTTTCTATTCTGATGTGTTTACCATCACATGCCCCTAAGCAGTTGGGTAAATTCCAGAGGCGATCAAAACGAGCAGCAATGTCTTTCCAATGTTGCACATTTGGTAATGGCATATAGTCTCTATTTAATATCTCCCATATTATAACTGTAGTTTCAGCTATGACCTTGCAAATTGTATTATCTCCTCTTGCAAAATACAATCCTAGGCTTACAAATGAACAACCTGATCCCAAATATCTGTAATTAATAACAATTAATATTAAGGTTATTTTCAGGATCAGAAGCTAAAGAAAAGTGGAAAAATCTACGTAGTGTTTTTGTTCGCCATTTGAAACCGCCTAAAAGTGGAGCAGGGACTGCGCAAAAAAAACCATACTACTTAGCTGATTTTATGCAATTTACTATACCGTTCATAAAAACAGCAGGAAAACCATCAGGAAATTTGAACGAGACAATAGAAGATAATGACACATTGCAACCACAGTCTCCTGAACTATGCGAACAAACACAGTTCACAGAAAGTGTACCTACAAGCACTCAATCGATCTCGCAACAGCATTCATCTCTTCCTCCAACAAGCACTCAATCAATCTTGCGACACCAATTACCACCAGCAACAAGCAATAAAAGAAAACGGAAGAAGCTTGAAGAAACTCAAGCTGAGCAAGATATTGCAGCTTATTTTAAATTGAAACGATCTAAAATTATAGAAAACTGTGACAGTACTGAAAATTCAAACAAAATGTTTTTACTGAGTTTACTGTCGGACGTGAATAAATTGAATGATAATCAAAGAAGACTGTTTAAGAGGAGAGTGCTTGAATTGATAGACGATATTATGGACCAAAGTAGTCCCATCACACTTTTATCTACTCCTTCACCGACTGACAGGGCAATAAGTACGCCAAATACCATAAATGAAAGTGTACAATCAAATACTGCCACACTATATTATGAATCAATACCTATGTTTTTATCACAGGAAGATGAAGAATAAGTAATAATTTTTATAATTGATTGAAATAGCCTATGTTTTAATTTGATGATTGATTGATTCATACTAAAAATTTAATATACATTTTTAATTACATATGTAACAATGGAGTATTATTTACCTTAGGGTTATCAGAATCCTTTCTTCCGCACTAACACACTCTCTAAATATAGTATTTCGTTGATGTATAGCAGGCTTTATTAATGTAACAAGATGCAGGTAGGTCTCTTTAGACATTCGGTAGAAAGACAAAAATTTATTATCATCATGTTGTAGTTCTTGTGCGGCTACAAAAACTCTACAATTTATGTTTCTTTCAATATATGGATGAATCCAGTATTTTCTACTCTTGCGTTGACGTCTTCTGTTTCTATAAAACAGAAAAGCTGCAAGTGCTTCTTCGTCACTAGAATCGCTCGACATAACGTCCGTCCACAAAAACGAGTTTGCACAAATGATAAATTTAGTCATTTTTCAGTAGCATAATATGCGAGCGTCGGGTAGCGAACAAGTATCCAACTAGTATTCTACTCGAGTATCGTACCTTACAAGTATCGTAATGGGAGAAGGGCCTAAGAGGCATTTTACAATTTTGCTTCATACTTCAATCTAATAATCAAATAAGTTTCGATTATTAATTTAATAATTAAGTGTTTATGGTTTGATAATGCTGGCGAATCGTACATATGTATGTCAAGTATGTTAAAAAAAATTTGCAGGACACAAGGCATTCGTTTACTAATTTTCGAAACATATTTTCGTTAACAGTTTCCCTTTCACATGTTTTCGGAAAACTCGTTCAGAACGAATACCTATCTTATAAACTTTTTCTTAATCACCCTTTCGATGAGATGCTGCAACAAATCGTTTGAACTAGATGTTATTACAGCACTAATGTTATTTTGAAGTGAGGGAAGCCTTTACTTACTTAATACAACTTTTCCACTTTTATTAGCCCGTTTTTTTTTGTGCATTACATTTTTCAGTTATTTTTGTTTCATATCTAATCTTCTCCGAAGAATATCAATTTTTTTCATTTTTTTTGGGGAATCGTCTATAACAGAAACGTTTGCAATTGAGCTACTAGGTACTGGCAATATATTGTCGTGAAGCGACAATAATAAATCTAACCTAAGAGCATCAAAACAACAAAAATACAACAAAAACCAAAAATATATATTAAAAATTCAAAGATATTTACAATTTTATAAAAAAATGAAATGAGGATGATGATGAATGAAGTGAGAGTACAATTAGATTATAAAAAAAATAAAGGTAGGAGAATAGGGGAATATAGAATTGTAGTGGAGCCTAAAAGTCGAAGCGACACACGTTGCGATTGTAGAGGTAGGTTTCTTAGCAGCGACGGCACGCAGCGCCTGAAGCCAGCACACGCCGGTTGCGCTTGTAGAGGTAGGTTTCTTAGCAGCGACGGCACGCAGCGCCTGGAGCCAGCACACGCAGCGTCCGGAGCCGGCGCACGTAGCGCTTGGAGTAGGTGCGCTCAACGCTTAGAGCCAGCAGTTGCAGCGCCCAAAGGTAGCGCCGGCGGTAGGTGCACTCGGCGCCTGGAGTAAGCAGTCGAAGCGCCCGGAGTAGTGTGGCCCCCGCGCTTGAAGTAGACTGCCGACGACTTCCGAGGTAGATGGAGGCTTGTAGGATTCCGGAGTGGTGCGGCTCCGCGCTTGAAGAAGGCTTCGCCGAAGACTTCACGTGTAAGTGGAGGCTTGCAGGATCCCGGGGCAGTGCGGCCCCGGGATAAGGCCTTTAGGAGATACTTCCAATTCGCGAAATGAAGCGAGACTGCCTTTCTTCACCGATTGTTCGGCTTTTATACCTTTCTAGAGAGAACGGAAAAATTATTTAAATTAAACGCAAATTTTTTGTAAATGGTCAAGAGAAAAGAGTATTTATGTGGAATTATCGAAATAGGAACAACAGATCGGTAGCAAATTTGAATATAATTACTATGGCAACGAAATAAATAATATCAAAACATGTCAAATTTTGGTTTTAGGTTTATAATAAGAAAACGGTAAGATTTAAGTGGAAAATGAGATATTATTGATATAGGAAAAAAGGTAGCGCAGCTGCCCACACAAAGCCCGAGATTGTAGAGTTACGGAAAACTAACTAAAAGATCGAAAAAAGGTAGACTCCATTGACACCAATTTAAAAGTGCTGATAATGTGAAAATACGAAGTAGAAATGATTTGTTATTGTGTTCTTATGGTTTAAAATCGTTACAGGATCCTATGGAAATAAAGGTGATGTAAAATATCCAGTTTTGAAGTGAATGCAGAAAATCGAAACAGAATGGAAAAATGAATTTAAAATAATGTAAAATGATAAGTAAGTAGCATATCTATGTAGGCACATGACGATGCTTTGCGTACCGGCTTCAATACAACCTACAAACAAATATAATTAGTGTACACATTATGTACTTATCTATGATTAAAATTAATAAAATACAACCCTTTTACCTATTTTTGCTGCTAAAAGGCAGTGCTTACACTACCACTAAACAGCAGTACTTACACTGCCGCGTTCTAGCCATTTGAGTAAAGAGAGCCTGTATAATTATAAGTTGTAAGACATTTTATCTTAGTCCTCAGGGGTGAAAACACATTTTTTTATAGAATTAGGGTGACAAACGAGCACACAGTCCACCCGATGGTAAGTGGTTGCTGTGACCCATAGACATCTGCATTTATCTTCGTTTGCGAATTAAAATGCAGATGCGTTGCCAGCAGTTAGGACTAAGATAGAATGGCTCTTTTCCAGTAAAAAGGGTCTCCGGTTCTCTACACTCACCATACGAAACACAGCAGCATTAAGCTGGTATTCTGTGTGAGCGTGGTCCTTCCTCGGTCGAGCCGACCCATTCGTGCTACAACTATACTATTGATATAGCTGCAGCATGTCTCTAACACGTAAAAAATTTCTAACTTTCATTGTTCGAAGATGACTGTAGGTGACCAAGTAATGCAATAACCGTTTATCAAGTGGTACTGTAAGTTCCTTTGTTACTTTCGTTTTATAAAAAAATATACATCACGTGGATGACAACAACAAGTTGTACACATTTGAACATGCGCAAACGAAATGAACATATGTACAGTAAAATATATAATTAAGAAAATACGCACTGGCATAAATAATGTGGGCATTGATCCCATACGCAGCTTTACTCTTTGTGCACTTTTATGAGAAAAACATTTTTGTTTAAAGTGCTTGCTACATGTAGTTGAATTTTTTTTTTTGGGAACCCACCCTTCTCTATTTATAATTTTAACCATTTTTGTTCAACCTGAATATTTTTTGGAAATCTGAAACATTATATGCGTAAGTATTTACTATTATGAAACAAACGTAAAAATAGAAAATTAAAAGAAAACGAAGTCACAAGAGGCTGCATCCAAGGATATGCCTTTGCCTCTTATAAACATATTATCGATAAGATGATATTGATAGTGTCCATCCCTACAAAAATTTGATAAGAAATAGCGGGAATTCACGTGTTTGTTATTATTTTTAATATAATTCTCACGCATTTAGAGCATTGTCGTAATCAAATGCGATATTTTTGTCTATCCATTTGTGTATAAAACATTTGTACTAGTTCTGAAATATTGAATTTCGAGTGCTAAATATTTTAATTGTACTTACATGTAAAATGTGTAATTTTGTGGATTTTCTTTTCTCGATGAACTGCATTCAGGTACGGCACACGTTACCATATTTAATAAGACCTTTTCAATAGTTATTAATACTTCAAAACCAAAAATATCGCGAAAATAAGTGGGATTTGTTTCGTTAACCATTGACGTCAGGCTGATACAGGCTGATAGCGTGTATGTGTATGTAATTCAAATTCAATAAAAATGTTAGGTATTGTTGTAGCACTCTTACTTTTGTCCCTAACTTTGTCTTAATAATAATTGATAATGTTATTTTTCAGGATCAAACTCTAGCATTGCAAGAATATCTGGGATCAAGTTCATCTCTAGATCTCAAGTCTCAACCAGGTCCTTCCCTTGTTGAGAATATTACGACTACTGAAATGCAATATCACAAAGTAAGTATACTACCAATAAAACATTAAATAATCATCCTTGGCTACTTTTTGCTATTATTCCACTGAAGTGGTACAGTTGCAATTTCTACTACTCGCAATGTACCTAATTTTGAAGTAGCAGGTGCACTTCTATGGTACTAGCCAAAAATACCGTTCTTAGCATTTTTAGGGTTCTGTGCCTCAACTAGCCTCAAGACGAAAAAAGAAACCCTTATAAAAATGCTAAAAAAGTTTTAAATCCTATTATATTCTTCATTATAGTTTTAAAACCACTTAATATCCTTTTTAATGTTTCATATAAACTAGCCGTTTGAATGTAGACCTCAAAGTATTATAAAAATAATAATAATAATATCTTGTAATAGTCCACCAAACAGATTATATATGTAGCACTAGCACTACACTTAGTCTGGAAAATAAATGACTTATTATTTTGCAGAATCAAGCTGCAGCTCAAGATCTCGAGTGTCAACCAGGTCCATCTTTTTGCAATGTTCTTAAGAACATTACAAATTCTTATACACAGCACCACAAAGTAAGTACCTACCTTTTCTACATTTATATCTATTATATATTTAGAAAGAAAATGTTACTGACTGGACTGATTGACCTATCAACACGCACAGCTCAAATCAATGGATGGGGTTTAGGCTGAAATTTGCCCCACAGATAGCTAATATGACGTAAGCTTCTGCTAATCCAACACATATACCTATAAAATATTTTGCACGCTCAAGCTCTAGCCCAAAATGTCAAGTGTCAACCAGACCCGTCAGTTAAGGAGAGTATGATTACTGAAATTCAGAATGATAAAGTAAGTACCTATCCTATCCACGAAATCTAAGAAATACCTTTTGACAGCTATCACCTTAATTTTTTTTTATTTATTTAATGAAAAGAAAAACAATATAATCCTATATATATAATATTATCCGTTATTTCTAATTGGGTTTTACTTGGTATGTCGTTAATGAGAGTTGGTATTAAATATAATCAAAATAGTATTTCTAGTTTTGATTG